AAGGGGGGTGCCTTTGTGTGATTCTGTTATTTTCTTTTTTATCTCCGATTCTGTGAGGAATTATAATGTGACCCTCAGCCAAAAGTCGTTTGTATTTCAATTCTACACAACATTGTTTTTTGTCCCGGAAGTTTTTGGTTTTTTAATTTAATTTTATTTTTTTTTTTGCGCTGGGGCTGCCCCGAACCCTGCCGGGGGCTCATGCCAGCCGGGCACCCATGCGTGTACCCGGGCAGAAGTTGGGTGTCTGGGCGCCCGGAAAAACAGCCTAGCTTTTAGGGCCTTTCTTTTTTTTTCCCCTTTCCTTCCATACTCCCTTGGGTTTGAAGTTTGAACCATACCTGCGGCACAAGTGTGCAGTGCGTCATGCGGTGCGGTGCGCTGGTCACCAATGCGTGAAAAAAAAAAGAAAAAAAAAAAGAAAAAAAAAAGAAAAAAAAAAAGAAAAAAAAAAAGAAAAACAAAGAAAAGAAAAGAAAAGAAAGCGGCTGTGATGTGTGAGAACACACGTGCGTATGCGCGTGAGAGAGAGAGAGAGAGAGAGAGAGAGAGAGAGAGAGAGAGAGAGAGAGAGAGAGAGAGAGAGCAAACAAATAGCTCCTTAACCTTAATAAGAAAACCCCTGCGGGCAGCAAGGGCCTCCTCACCATGAACGAGGCAATGCTCATACCCATGCTAGGGTCATGGCACGCCAAGTATATATGGTGTTGATTCACATTAAGGTCCGCGTTTCAGCAGTTATGGGACCACTGAGCATGCGATTTTCCGGGCAGTAGCAGGCCAACTCACCACGTGCTTTTCAGGGCTTCCCACCACTACTCAGCAAATGTGCAAAACTAGAACGAAACTTCTGCTAGAACATGGAACCATACACCTCCATATGTTTTGTCTTTTGTGCAAGTGGTGACGAGTGGAGCAAGGCCCTTGGGGCCACTGCTCGTAGGAAAATGAAACAAAAGAAAGAGAGAGCTACAGTGGTAAGTAGTTGTAACTTGTAACCCATAACTGCTGGAAAGCAGACCTGATTTCGGATCCAGAACATATATTGCTGGCCTGCTCCGCTCTCACACGAAATTTGCTGAACGTCTCCTGACATGTTGGGACCCTTGCAGATGCACTGCTGGGGTCCTTCGGGAGGAATACATGGCCTCAATTTTTTTTTCTGGTGCCCTTAGATTTTTTAGAAGGGCGGGGCACTGTTGGCTACCTCAGCCAGCCCTCTCCGAATTTTTTTTTAAACCCTACTTATTGAGGTGTGGTGCATCATGTGCGCGTGCATGGTTGCGCGTGCGCTATGCACCACACGTGCGGAGCTCGCGCGCACGCAATGCGCCGCAGGTATGGTTTGAACCATGAGGTGCGCTGATCGCAGCTGCACGATAAAAAAAAGAAGAATAAAAGCAACAGTTGAGTGGATACATGCTGGAGAGAGAGAGAGAGAGAGAGAGAGAGAGAGAGAGAGAGAGAGAGAGAGAGAAGAGCCCTTTGGCTCCTTTCACATTATTCACAAAACCCCTGCCCACGCTTCAAAAGTCCCTTGCCAACTTAGCAAGGATCTCATCAGCAGGAGAAGAATAGTTGCTGAGCCTGTAGTAAGGAGGGAGCAGGCCAGCTATATATATGGTGTAGCTTCAGATTCAGGTCCGCGTTTCAGCAGTTATGGGTTACTGACTTGCTAACTTGGGAGTGCACGCAGACGAGGTTGCGGATTACCCTAAATCGCGAGGACGCGGGTGGGTTTTGCGGGGCCTTTGGCCCCTGCCGCGTGGGTGGTAGGGTATTTCTGAGGGTTGGCTGATACACCATCATGGAGGGATTTGGTGTTTTAGCGTAGGTAACGTGGGGGGTGGAGAGATCTGCTTTGAATCGCAAGGAGGTGGGTGCGTTTGCCGGGTCTGTCGTCACAGATCCCTGCCGCGCGGATGGCAGGGTGGATCTGCAGGGTTCGGTGATATCCAAGGGTGATAGGCTTTGTTTTTGCTATTTCTTTTTTTAGGTCGGATCCGCATTGTGAACCAGGAATGGATTGTTCTGTAGCCCTGGAATGGATTGTAGCGTTTGCCATTTCGTTGAATTTGTTCTGTAGCCCTGGAATGGATTGTAGGGTTGGCTGTTTATATTGGCATCGTTGACTTCCTGAGGGAGACATGGTTACGGGCAAAGGAAACAATTTACCCTGTAGCTTTTTCTATGATGTGAGGGACGCCGGACCCGTTTTCCGGCTTGTATAATTCAAAAGCAGCTGCCGTATGAACCAGGCCGAAGTGCCTGGATCACATTAAAAAAAAAAAAAAAAAACGGCATGTGATTTTCAGCGCTTCACTCCATGACTCACCAAATGTGCAAAACCAGAATGAATCTTCTGCTAGAAACTGGAACCATACAAGCCATATGTTTTTCTTTTTTGCGAGTGCTGATGAGTGGAGCTCATTTTGCTATTTTCTGCGATTTGCAGTCCCGACAGTGAGAGAATACTCACACTAGGACCAAAATGAGTGGCCAGATCTAGTCCTTCATTTACAAAGACTCGATCTGGCCGCCCATTTTGCTATTCTGCGATTTTGAGGGCTTAGTGTGAGTATGCTCTGAGTGAGTGAGTGAGTGAGTGTACTCCGAGAGACCACAGTTCAAATTTCAGTGCAAGAGTTCAAACCCAAAGGAGTACAGAAGCCCCTAAAGGTGAAAACAGCGGAGAGAAAAAATACTGAATCTGGCTGCTCATTTTGCAATTCTGCGATTCGGAGTGTCTACTGTGTGGATACCCATTTTTTTCTGAGAGACCACAGTTCAAATTTCAGTGCAAGAGTTCAGTTTAAATCAAAGGGATACCCATTCGGAGTGTACCCAAGGGAGTACAGAAAGGAAAAAGCAAAAAAGCAAAAGGCCCCGAAACAGCAGAGAGATAAATACTAATTTACTAAAAATAGTAAATACTAAATAGTCAATACGAAATCAGTTTAAATCACAGTTATAAGCATACAGAAAAAATAATTAACAGATAAAGTTATAAAGTTATATAAATAAAGTTATAAAGTAAAGTTATATAAACACATCAGAAGAAGGCGAGCAATACCCGTGTGAAGAAGGTGAACAACCTTGACGACCCAGGTTGGTTCCGACTCACTCAAGCTGGTCTCTCCCCGATCTCTCTTGTCGCCAACCTGCAAGAAAAAATAATTAAATTAAATATAATTTTAATTTTTAAATTTGAAATAAAATAAATTATGTTACAACTTACCACGGTGACGTGGGACCACTTGCCAGGCCAGGCCAAAAATGAAAAAAAAAAAAAAATGCCAGGAAACGGGCCTGGCATCCCTCACAAAATTTCCGGGGTCCAGTTTAAGGGTGAGACATCATCGGTCAAGCCCAAGAACGGAATTTTTGGGCCAGCACACACCACAAAACCCCATCTGGAAGAAAAAATCACAAGAAAGAAAAAAACGAAAAACAAAGACGAAGATGAAAAAGACAGACCAGTTTTTTATTTTATTTTTTTTAATACTCCAATATACATGGGTCCAAAAGAGGACAAACCCTAACCATCATTAGTTTCTCCAGCCACCCCACACTATTACATAATGGTCCGACCCTGAGGCAAAAGTCATTCAGTTCATTTTTTTCTGCACAGCATAATTTCTTTCCGCATTTTTTTCGGGTTTTTTTTCTTTTTTTTTTTTCCCACAGGGATCTTCCCTGGTCCTTGCCCAGCCGGGCGGCCCGGTCAAACAAGGTGATCCGGGCGGCCCGGTTTATAACACAGATTTTAAACAAATTAACAAGTACAATTTCAAACAAATAAAAATTAATAAACAATCTAAATTATATTTATTATATTTAAATGACAAACAGAATGTCTTTTTCAAATTTTGAGTTTTTTTTTTTTTGTTTCCTTTTTTTGGGTGTTGTTGTTGTTGTTGTTGTCATGGCTTAAAAGTTAGAACTATTTTTTTCGTGTGTAGTGTGCGTGCCCAGCAGTGTCCAGTGTTTCATATCCGTTAGGCGTATCGCAAAACCATCGGTTAACCACTACCGTCTTATCCCAAGTAGAACGGACGATCATTAACACTGCATCTAGACTGGAAGCTGACCCAAATACAGCTATAGTCACAATACGTTCTGTTCGGGAAAAGATGGTAGGCATCCACAATGTGAAAGAAAGCGGTTCTCTATTTTTTAAAATGATTTTTCCACCCGTTTTTTTTTCAGTACTCTTTTTTCTCTTTTTCTAGTTTTTTGGGTATTTGTGTGCATGTACGCATATTTATCACACAAGTGGATGAGCCCATGCCAAGCACTAGCCAAGGAGAGAGGGGTGGGGGGTGGTGGTAGTGAAGGTGCAAACATGAGATAAGGGGAGGG